GACGCGACGGTTTACTTTACACAAACACACGCGCGCGCGCACGTTCACACGTGTATACACATTCTCGAGAGATACGTTCCGCAAGCGCGCGCGCGCGCGAACGTCCCGACCTGAAACACTACGTTACCTCTCTGTTTCCTTCTCGCAGTGCCCGAGTAAGAGGAATGAGGAACGATTGCGCGCTAATACAAACGTCGGTATATATTTTGCTTTAATAATAATATCCTTGCATTTTCCCTGACGCGAGATTACGCGGCTCCCGCGTGTTCATTCGACAAAATCAAGATTTCTTTCATATCCTGACGTTTGGAGAATTAAGATTTCCCGCATCTCGAATATAGATTGAGATTATTGATCTCTCGCGCGAGCAATTTCAAAATCTGCAGCGCGATCTTTCTTCCAAGAAAAAAAACAGCTATAAAAAAAAATTACAATATCCAGTACACAGTAAAAAAAAAAATTGTAATTTTAACATTTTTTGCATGTTCCAGGAGGTCCGCTCTAAATTTTTTAGTTAAAATAACTCATTCGTTGTGAGTCACTTATTGACAAACTAGTAAAGTCAAATACAAGCAAACTTAAGCAAGTAAATTGGCCAATGTGAGCCTAAACACAGTTAACAGTGTGTAAATGTTTTGCAAATTAAATTTATTCGAAAACGTTTAACGTTTCGATCCCCGGATGGGATCATCCTCAGAAAAAGAATACATGAAAAATCCTGTATAATGAGAACAAAAAACAATCAGATATAAAATAAAAGTTAAAGGATCAAATATACAGAGCAATCGAAACGTTAAACGTTTTTGAATAAATTTAATTTGCAAAACATTTACACACTGTTAAATGTGTTTAGGCTCACATTGGCCAATTTACTTGCTTAAGTTTGTTTATATTATTGGAGCCTTCACTTGATTTTCACTAAAGTCAAATACTTGACACAATTACTTTACATTTATTATTTGTTATTTTGACTGTAAGCGTGATGTAAAAATAACATATAAAATAATTAAAATTACACTACAAAACAGTAGTTACAGTAGTAACTCGTAAGAAATGTTAATAAAACATTTTAGTTTGTACAATGTGGCCACAGATTTTTTAAATTTTTTTAGTATGTTAACACTAGATTTACCAGACCAGTCATTTTGACTGGTCGTGCAATTTCAATTCAAAATTCCTACTGCATGTAACATTTGCTTTCCGAAATGATGTTGTGACTTTTGTAGCTATAAGTAGAGAATACATTTTATGAACTTAATGTTACTTTATATATATTCGTAACAAATATATTTTTTGTATTTTTTAATAGATATATTTAAATAGCTGATATATCTAGCAGGGACTTAATACCGGTATGATTTCAATACCGGTATTATACTAGAGATTGTATACCGAAACCGATATAGTACCGAAATTGAGTCTTACCGTTACCGTTATAGTACCGAAACCGATACATTACCGAAAACCGTAATAAAATACCGGTATTATT